CGGGACATAGTGGCAATCCTGCGGTTCGAGCGAAGCTGGTACCATGGCGGCACGGATAGGGAAAGGGACGATCCACGCTGTCTTGTGCCAGAACCTTTACAATACAACCAGTCCCACGAGCGAACATGAGACCCATCTCCAGCATCCTTGATCTTGTCGACATGTCGTTAAAGCTGCTTGCACTGCTTGAAGTGCCCAAACAACCAGCTAAACTGGCTTGGCTCGGAAGGGCGATGCTCTGGAGGAATGGAGTTCAGAATTCCAAATGTACTCGATCCTGCTGGAGACGCCTAAAATTAATTGATACGTGAACGTGTAAAGGTGGAACTCTAGCAGAGCTTGCTCTGTCTAGTTCGCACCCCTCCTGTGATCTAGGAAGAACCGTTGGGAAACCACTTGCAACAACACCCCAGCACCCGACCTCGAGGAGCCGTGTATTTATTGCAACTGGCACCCGTCAATGGAACCCTGAAGCTGCAATCCAAGTTCTATTGTTTGAATGCTTCCGGCAAGAAACGGTGCCAGAAGCGAATCAAACCGTGGCAGCCCTGAGGTTTCGATAGGTCCGTCCCGCCAGCGTTTTCAAGGCTGGATGAAGCCACCTCACAACGGTATCGTCATTGCCATTCCGATCCATAATCTTCAGATGCACGCTCTGGCTTAGGCGGGTTTCGATGCGCCTGCCTAGCCAAGCCGAAACCGAATCAGTTGAAACTAGCGGAACGCTTAGTTCAATGAGTTAAGATAACACGCGTACGCTTTCTGTCTTAACAGAGCCAAATGGTAAGTGAGTCCAGTTGGTTGCATTCCTCAGACTTTACAAGAAAGCATGCAGCACTGCAAAATCTCAACCGTAAGAAACAAAAAAGAAAGAATAACATAAAAGAGCCCAGGTCTACGTACATCCGGAAACAAACAAAAGCGGTGTTCGAAAGGTCTGACGGAGTCATGTTTTGCTCTTTCCGCCTTTCAAAACGCTGTGGCTGTTGTTTCCGCACTTATTTACAGTTCTTTACTTTTGTCATTGTTCCTTCCGTTCTTTGTTTGACGGGCTTCTTTCTTTTCTTCCTTCCTTTCTGCTTTTGGATCTGTTGCTGTCTTCTCTTTCCTTTGTGCATCACTGAGCATTGCCATGTTGATTGTTGTTCGTTCCTGCTGATTGATTGTTGTTTTGTTGTTGAGCCCTGTCCCGGAGATTGACAACGGACTCTCACCATGTGGTGGGCAGGACATGCAGCCTATGCCAATGATGCGTCAACGCCTGCTGCAAACAAGCACTCGCCGAGCTTAGGCCAAGGCTGAGACATGACCAAGCTCCGGCACAGAACTTAAAACAACTGGCGGTCAATCTGAGGACCGAGCTGCACGGTGGGCTGCCATCAAACGCCACAACACCTGGCAAACAAGCCGACCTATAGCCTATAGCAGGCAAATATAGGCAGTGTCAAATTCCTTCTGGGCCCAATCTGAATGGCAAAGCTGGTTGATCCGGGCAGATCTCCACCACGCTATGTCCTTTATCTCTCCGAAAATCCTCGCTTGAAGAACGCCATGCGACGAAAGCTAACTAGCATCCGATGGTTTTTGGTTGTAGCCGTGCTGGCAGGAGACTGGATCTAGACGACATGTCCTCCCTGCTTTCGACTGGAGGTCCTCCTTTCCTCAAATCACACTAACCATCCATTGAGCCCAATCCAATGAACAGCGATCGCATGTATGGCTGCGAAAAGGCCTACATGCGTTGTTAGTTTAGACAGCTGCATCACCACCTTCATCATGATTCTCGTCCGGGGTTTCTCTCTGGTTCCGTATGGCTCACCTCATCTCGGCGCAACATTTAAGTCAACCTTCACATTGATGCCAGGTGTTTGTCAGTCCCTCCTTTTCATATTCGCGTTCTTCTACCCCTCTTCTCTTTCTCTCTTCATCTTCTTCTTCTGTAGGCCTTGCTCCCGACCCCTCCCCCCCGGGCACCCCCGATTTTCTTGGGAGTGCAGGAAATGCACCCCTGGGCCTAGCGCCGTCCTTGGTCTGATTAAGCTCGCGAGGACCGGACCGGAGTCACATTCCATTCCGTGAACCTCCCTAGCCCTAGTCCTCCTTCTTCTTCGACAGGCGGGCTTCCTTCCTTCCTTGCTTGCTTCCTTCCTTGCTTCCCTCCTTCCTTGATTCCTTCCTTCCTTCCTCTTCTATGGGGCACGCTCTCTGTCTCTTTCTTTCGCCAGGGCTATGGGCAAGAGGTTTGACCCCCTTGCCGTCCTTCTCTCTCTGCCCCTCTCTCTTTCTCTTTACCCTTTAGACTGATGCTTCAACCTGACCGCCGTGGGCACGCCCCGATTCTGATGCCAAACCCCACTGAGCTTTTGGTGAAGAAATGTGAAGAAACTGCAGGTGCAGTTTGTCGCTACATTTGCAAGTCAAAGGGCTTTGTGACGCTCCCTTGTCGCCAACTGAGAAGCCACTTGCAACGAGACCCGGCTGCCTGCATTGCAGGCTTGTCGAAGTGCCTGCTGCAATTTCGCCTGGCAGTGCCCAACTCAACTGTAGGTAACGAAAGAAAACATCGCGACATGCTCCAAATTAAAGTTCCCCCCGTGCCTTTGCTTGCGACCGGTTACTGTCTGGATGGCTTCTTGTTCCATGCCTGTTCGTCGTTCTACCCATGGCGATTTGAGCGTTCTACCCTGGCGATTTGAGCCGCAGCGCTTCCCACTTGCAAAGTTGCAACAAATTCTTGAATCAGGCCGCATTGCTCCTAGTTTGGACCGACCTCCGCAACGTCTGGGCTGCAGCACTCGTTTTGCCCTCGTTGTTGCTTGTCATGCGGGAAATTTGTCGCAGGTGCACGAGCCGAGGGCGTCTGCAGCTACTGATTGTCATGACAGCCAGCTAGGCTACTGCGCTGCCTGACACAGCTGTACAGGGCTAGGGGTTGAGGAGGGTACAGTTGCGTTTTCTCCTTGCCATCATGGCAGTAAATGTCATCCACATCTTCTTTAGTAGGCTTCCGTAGGTCACTGTGTCGATTGTCCGAAGCGAATTCAGGGCTCTTCTCAAACAGGCCTCTGCACAGCTCCAAGCACTGTCAAAATGACATCTTCGTCCAAAGCTTGGAAAGGGAGATACTGGCACAAGCTGCCTCCAAGTCTTCCGAGTCACAGGCTAAGATGGTCGTGACCGCGCTTGTCACCATGGGCTTCAATGAACCTCCAGATTTAAATGCAACACATTCTTATGCTGCGGCCGTGGAAACCGATATCGCTCGTACTTGGGCTCGAGCCTGGCCCACTGTTAAAACCGGGCCACGACGCCTCATGGCCGCAAGTGAGGGTGCCTCAAGAAGTATTGCAAACCTCGGTTCCATCCCGCCTGGCTAGCATCGCTGCTGTGCCTACGTGCCCGCAAGGAAACCCTCGCACACGCGTGGCGAGCAACGGATATGTCAAGGACAACTTACAAGTGAGGATCTGGGGAATAAGTAACTAGATGCACAGGTGTGAAGCGCCTGTCATGTCGACTGAAGCTCTATCACTCTTTGTAAACTCTCCGAGCATCACGCTGTTGCACTTCAGCGAGGCTGTTGCCAGCGCCAGTCCGCAAGTGGCAGCAACCTAGGCAGTAGTTTCGCACGTCCCTTCCGTTCGTGAGGCAGCTTCCACGTGCCTGCTCGTCGCATCAGAGCTGAACAAACCCTGCTTCTAGAACTTTCTAGAACTGTACATGCTGCCACTGCGTGAGGGGAGCCGTGCAGATTGAGCATCTTCGAGGCTCTACTGGAAGTCTAAGGCCTAAGCAAGTAGGGCCTCTCCGAGTCTGCCGCCGGCATCCCGACATATAGGGCACCTATAGTAACTTGAGTCTTTTGGCTTTTTTATAGACACCGGAAGCTGACGCCAAACCCCAAGGAATTCGAAAGGATCCCTGACATTGACCTACTGCAGTAGAGCTACCCATCAAGTTTCAATACATCAAGCTGACGGCAAAGTTCTCACTGCATCTCTCTAGGGATTGGATCGGGCTTCTGTGAGTTGATGATGCAGGGTTTTGGGTTCAGAGCAGGGTTTAGAGCTTAGCAAGCTGAGATCACGGCCATCTCTCTGTTTGTCACACCTCGGCCAACTCCACACAGTCTCTGCAGACACGCGACACTTGCCACTGACGAAAAGCCAATGCTTGACATCGAGGCTTGCACCTGGCCAGCAAAGGGCCCCAGCGACATGCAAAGAAAGCGCTCCAAGTTGAGCCGACGATGCAGATAAAGTGCAGAATGCGCGCACGACCCAACGAGATAACATGCCATAAAATTGCATCTCCGACGTGTTTTGCAGCTGTAGAATGAACGAGATACGATTTGACGACACAGAGAGGGAGAGGAAAAAATGCACTAACACTGATGGCAGTCATGAACAACAAAGAAAGAAAAACAAACAAACAGGCAGAGCGAGAGCGAGAGACAGGAAGTCAGGCCAGCAAGAGACATGCAGCGAGGCGAGCAATAGGTTGACGGATGCCGATAAGCAACTAGACAAAACTAGGGAAACGCAGAACTAGGTGACAGATTTCCTGTTGATGTGCCGTCAGTTAGAGGGAGAGCGTGGCATGAACAAAACCGAATGTAGATATCTGCAACAAACTCAACTCCAGCGATGTGTTTTTTGCCATGTATTTTGAAATCGATCTTGATGAAGTCAACTATGACTATGACTGTCTGACGGTTCGCTGCTCAGTCAAATGTCGCACGGATGGCGGCTGTCTCAGTGGATTCGGAAAGTGGTACGATGCGAAAGCGCTCCCAGGTTCAACCGGATGGCAGGTCCTGAATCGCCATGTGGCCGCTGCTGCCCATGTTGTGGGAGGTCATACGAATCATGCGGTTGTCATGGGTGCTGTGGAACACGGACTGGCCGTGATCGGCAAGCACAACCGTGAAGTGCTCCCATGTCCACCCGCTCTGGAAATCAGACGCACCCGGGGATCAGTGCTTCCCAGCGCTGCACCCCTCATTTAAATTGAAGCGGTTGCGGGCAGCGTTGTGGAAGGCGACTTGACCATTGCCGGAAATTGCCGGCGTCCACCACGGTGAAGCGCTCCCAGACCCAATTGGAAGGCAAGTCGTTGTGGTTCCTCACCTCACTCCGCTGCAGTTCAGCCCCATTCATGGAGACATAGCTATTGTGTATGCCACAGTGCAGGGCCACCAGAGTGCCGGGTTGCAAGTAGGGCCTTACAGGCACAATCTGGAAACGCTCCCATGTCCAACCGCCTGGCAGGGCCATGGGGGTTCATGTGGCTACTGGAGCCTGCCTTGTCAGTCGTCATCCTGACCATGCGGTTGTGCGCAGAGTTGTGGAACACAAACTGACTGTGACCAGCAGGAATCACTGGGAAGCGTTCCCAAGTCCATCCGGAGCGGAAAGCATCAGGAGCCATGGGGGAGCTGACTAGCATTCGGGGCCGTCCATCTTCAGGTATCTGTTGTGGAAGCTGTTGTGGAAGGCCACCTGCCCGTTGGCAGCATCAAGAACCGTGAAGTGCTCGTAGGTCCAGGAATCTGGGAAATTCTCAACGCGCCGGGGTGGGTTGCGGCCGATGGTGCCTCTGAGGGCGAGTTGACGGGCCCTTTCCTCGGCCTCTTCTTGTTGCCTCCGGGCCTCTTCCTCTGCAGCCCTCTTGATTGCTCCGAAGGGATCGAAAGAAGATATACCTCCGCCAAACATTCCTCCGAATCCGCCGACTCCTCCCCAAAATAATGTGCCGTTCTGAGTGTGGCTGAAAGTGTGGTTCTCCTTCTCCAGCAGAAGGGCCTGTGGAGCACCTGGATACATGAGAAGGTAGCGGCCGTGATGCGGACAACAAAGGGCCACCGTGGTACCCAGCTGAAGATATGGCTTCACATGGACCACCTGGACACGTTCCCAAGTCCGTCTGGCAAGTGATGTGGATCCTTGTGGCCACTGGCGTCCATCGTGTGATCTGACATTCGAAGATATTCGAAGCATCCGGTTGTGGTCTGTTGTAAAGGACGATTTGGCCGTTCCCAGCCGGCCGCACCTCCCACTTCTCGGAGGCCCAGCCCAGCTGATCCACCGACCTGTGAGGACTGGCTGCGCCCACCCCCGAAGCCTTTGTGGTGGCGAAGCGCGAGGCAATCTGGCCATGTCCCGCATCCACCACGGTGAACCGTTCCCAGCTCCACCCGTCGGGTATCTCCATCGCCCCTTTTTCAGCACTTTGCCCCATGTTCCCACTATGCATCTGTGCGAAGCGATTGTGGATCTGGCTGTGCAAAGCGATGGTGGTGCCGGGAAGCAAGATCCTCCATTGAGGTGAAGGCATCCTGCATGAACATGGGTGTGGACGCATTGCATGTGACTCTGTCAAACTTTTCGTAGTCTTGCATGGCGCAGTCCTGTCTCGGCTTGTGCGCAAGCCTCTCTCGGGAGCTCTGCACTTTAATCTCCTGCCAGACCAGATTTTTGCTCTGCTACTGAATGTACATCATCGCGGTGCAGGTCCTCGACCATAACGAGCAGGGTTAGGAACCTTTTGACAAGCTGCGCAAATCATGCTGGGCTAGTTGATGAACCGAGTGTCAACATCGCAACCTCTGGGACTCCAGCAAGGAGAGCCCTCAGCAGAGTCTCACACGCACGATTACAGACCTGCTGATGACTGGTGAAATGCCGATGAAAAGCAGTGTTACGCTGAGGTTGCTGCGCCTCAGTCCGCCTTCTCCCAACCTCAAGAGTGTTGTGGAGAACATGCTGAAGGATATTCAGATATTCGCCAAGCGAGCGTCCCGGCGACACGCTACAAAACAAGGCTAGCCTAATAATCCCACGTTGCAAATCCCGACAGTAAGGAAAGATCGCACGGAAAAATTACGCTTTCAGCCTGCATGATTTGTGCCGTATTTCTCCTTCCCAGAACACGTGTACTCCAAGTACTTAGGCTGCATGTCAACTGCCTAGTCCGCTCTGAGAACCCCAGACGTTCCCTCTTGAATTGTGTTTCGAGGTGAACCATGAGTCTTCGGTGAGCATCACAGGGGCAACTCGGATGCATCGCTAAAACCGCCCTGGGCTGGGCATCGGGCGGCGTCGGCGGGCTCGTACGTTTGGATCTGGGCCTGTTCGCCACATGCCGAAGTCATGATATGCCAAATGTCTTCTCAGAGTGGGAGGATGCATGTGTTGCACAGTTTCGCCATGTATGCAAGGAGAACTTTTCTGTTTAAGTCTAAGGGTTGCAAATTTGGCATCAACCCGAGCTTTCTTTGTGCTTGTGCTGGGACGGCAACTAAAACAGCTGTCCAACTTGATCAAGCAACGTGTGCAGATCTCTGCCGCTATGTGTAACATAAATGGTAATCACGACTCCACCCAAACTGTTGCTTTGTAAACCAAAATATGCTTGCATACTGGGTATGGGGCGGGGGAAAAGAACTGATGCTGTGTCGCGTAGCTAGCACGTCGCAAGAGCCTCAAATCGTGTGTAATTGGTCAATGAAGCGTCCAGCTTACATCCCACGCATTATGTTTGCTCAAAAGTCCAACATGCTACGATAGCACAAATCGACGATCCCAATCAGTGCCCCAGCCTATCAAGTCCCTGCCGTGGCGCTGCTTCCAAGCCTTGCGCAACATGCGTCATTCAGTACTTTCGGCCTCACACCTCTTTTGTACAAGTAAAAGCCACCTCGGCGGCTTCGACCAGCGCTTTCGGCAGGGTGAAAGCCTGAGTCGTACCACTTGCAACAAACGGAGCAGCAGAATTACACACATTGGTACACGTCCAAGCTCTGGCCGTGACCCAAGAAGGGAACGGGCCAACCTCGTCTCAACTTGTTGCTATCAGCAGATTTAGATTTGTAAGCGTATGCACCCGTGGGGAAACTAAGCTTCAAGCACCCAACTCCTGGCAAAATGCCGCGCTGAAGTCGATGCAGTTGCGCCTAAGGCTTAATTCAACATTGCCAAAAAGGTGGCAGTGGCACGACTTCAAAGCGAACAGAGGTCGGTGGGACACTGGCCGCAGGATGCAGTAATCTTCGCCGCGCCTAAGGATAAGCATCTAGCACCGGCGAACAGATGCTGTTTGGGCTCCCGACCATTCAGAGGCTAAGCGCACCAATATTTTTGCGAACTGACACAGGGAAATGATAACATCACGGGATGGCTCACTAATGCTCACAATCGCCTCACCACGTCTGAGCCGAGTCTTGTAAACGAAGGTGTGAGTCGGTGCAAACTTGCGACGTCGGCCAACCCTGGCGGAGATGGTATGGGCCAGGATCGGACTGCCCGACTGCCCGGAGCTGTGACAACTCTCCATGCCGGGCAAGCGCGCAAGACCACACACCGGTGGCGTCGTCGCACTCGTACCAGTACTCCCGCCCGCCCACCTGAGGCCATTGGCCAAAATTGACGCAGGATGACAGCGAACGTGGGTTCCAATCTGCCTCCACCTCAGCGTGGTACCCGCCATAACCCAACGGCTCAAGCCTCACAAGCTCTGAAGCTCCCGCAGTTCAACAAGTAATCCTGCATGCTTGTGGCCCTGACACACAGTTCGGCAGCCAGACAAGAGCGTAGAGGTTGAGCCTCACTTCCACCTCAAGCAGCATGCGCGTACGGAGGCCCTGAAATAGCATCAGCCAATGCTAACGCCAACCCGGCACGGCTTTACGCTGCGTGAGTGAGCCTTTCGCGGTGTCCACATTCGGGACATTGCTTTAAGTTCCAGATGATGTGCCATGTGATGTTGTGACTCATGTTGTTTTCATTATTATGCTTACGTGAAGTCTGGTAACCGATGACGTTGTTGGCTCACCCTAAAACGAGCTTCTCGATATGATTGATATAACTGCTGGCTTGTACAGCAGATCGGATTCAGGATATTCAGCTCTCTCTCTCTCTCTCTCTCTCTCCCTCCCTTGCAAGCACGCTGGTCCAAACTGTTCCTTCACGGATGCTCAGCAACGATCTGTGCAGACCGGAAATGGCCCACCCCCAATGGTCTGCCCCCCCCCCCCCCCCCCAAGCCAGGCCTCTCGACCGGCAAACAGTCACACGTCATCCGCGTAAGTTCCCCACGGTATTCCACCCCAAGCCAGGCCTCTCGCCTTTTGTCATTCCAAGCCAAATTTCGGTTATGTTCGTCAAAAGTAAACTTGAGCACGTCTTTGAATGAGTTTCATTCGGGACTCTTGAGCAAGGGACCGGAGGAGGGTGCGGATGGGGATTATGACCACCATCTTCGTCATCATCATCACCATAATATACATCACTATCACAGGCTTTGGAGCTCCGGGCAGGTCGGAGTTGAGTGGAACTGCATCATCCTAAGGTCCGCAAGAGACGAACTCGGAGAAGCACTCTGCACACCTCGCAAGGCGGGCAGGAACCCGCATCAAGCATGCTGGACAGAAACGTCTTGCTGCGCTTGCGTTGACCCCGTTCTGCGTGCGCCCCTCTGGCTTTGAGTTCTTGATTATATACATTGGATAGCATTCCCAACAGCTTGATACCTCCTTGCATCGTCACGATGAGGTTCGCACAATCAAGTGCTAGCAGTTGTCGCGCACCAACTGGTGCCGCAGTCCGCGCGCAGCCAAATTCGACTTTGCACGCTGGAAACAACACTATACGAGTTGCGAGAACTTGAAACAAGCACGAACAAGTACAACCTCACGGCCCAAACTTTCTCGCTCCATGGCTGAGGCTAATTATTATGCTTGATGATGGAGACTGCTGAATCATTGGACCTTCGTTCTTTCACTAACTCTCAGGGTGGCTGCAGGGGGGGAAACTTTGGAATACGGTACAGCAGCAGTCAATCTTGCCGCGCATGTCATTTCTTTGGCCCATTTCTTAACTCCAACCAAAGCAACTGAAATGTGTCCGTAGCTTACAGGTGTGCACATGTTCGGGTGTGCGCTTCATCGTCCGAGGCGCCTTTACACCCTCCCAGCATGCCAAAGTCTCTTGAAAAAATGTTGTTTGAACATGGAGCTGACTCGCCGTCAAAAGGTGCTTCGAACATTTTAGGCCGCCACCTCGCCGCGAAGGTCAGCCTGCCAATCGATCACCTGCAAAACAGCACTCCGCGTTGTGGATAGGCCCCTCCCGACTTCTTAAACATGCTCAAGCTCTCCCCACCTCGGGGTCTGAGCGATCACGGTCCTAGCAAAGCACAGGCGAGCGCCGACTTCCGCAAGTCAGCACAATGTCGCATCAAGCATGGCCTGACCCCAGAAGCAGTTCCAGAGGCCACTGAAGCACGACATGGCTCGGAATCCAGATGAACTTCTGCTGCTGCTCACCAACGCCGTTTTTAGAGATGCTGAACAAAAAACTCGGTATTGCTGCAGTTGTACACCCAGATACATGACATGCTCAGTAGACGGAGGGTGCCACTTCTTGCATGTGTCCCAGTTGTCTTTCTCGGGTTGAGGCGAGGGCAGCGGCTGTGTCTTAAGGAGAAGTGTGGATGCAGATGGATGTAGGACAATGCAACCGTCTGGTAGAAGCCTGGTAGAAGCCACTGAGCTCTGACTTTGCGGCGGACCCAAACAGTGAAAAGAACTCCACTCAGGCCAAATACACTTCTGCGAGGGATCCATGCTGTCCTCATGGGCATGATGTGCTGCAACGCTCGTTGGAGCACGCAAGTGCACCGGTTGGAAAGCAAAGTGCAGCCGTGATCCGCTCCCTTCCTGGTGGTTTCACGTGGTCGCCTTCTGCTCCGTGCTCCGCCCAAGCCCTTGAGCGACAAAGGCATTGAAGAAAGCCGGGTTGGCTTCCAAGACATCATTCAGCAAGACGTTAACACACTCTGATGACTCCCATAAGTCCGCTGAGCGCAATCACAGCTCAAGTCGGCGCGTGCGCAGCCAATCATCGTGCAAGAAGGAGGTCATGAGGAAGAGGCGGTCTACCCAAGCGCCAGCATAGGGGACTTGAAGGAGCCGATCACGAAGATGGTACGACTTCTACGGAAAACTACTCAAAAATGTCTCCGAGGCCTCGGATGCCTTGGACGCGACAGCTGGTGCCAAAGACTACAGCAAACTCCAAAAAGTTGGAAACCTAATTAAGGACAAACAGTGCTGGGATTCCCTATACTTTACTCTTAGGGATTGAGGCTATAGGGTTTCCAACTTTTTGGCTTCTACTGTAAGCTGACATTTTGTCAACAGGAAGCCTTCAGCAAGTGCGGCCCAGTCTCGGTTGTAGATCTTGTTTTGAACCATTGAAACTGAAGGTCACAGTCGTCATCCGATGGCACTGATGGCGAACTTTGGACCCACCGTTGAAGTGCTACATGGTGCTGGC